CGGACGGCCGGCCGGCAGGGGCGGGTCCGGGCCCGAGAAGCGAGCAGAGCAGAGAATCGCCCCTTCTTCGCCCGCCTCTCCGCCGCAACTCTCCTCTCTGGCGAAGGGATTCGCCAACTTTTCCGGGGTCGCCTCCCCTCTTCTCTTGACGGCTCCCCGCCTGTCGGTGGGGGGGGGGAAGGCCCTTCACGGGCACCCGGATTTCCAAACAACTCCCCAAAACCCGCTGGCTGGGAAACCGTTCGCCGTTTCCCACTAAAAGGTCCCCTTTCTGCTCTGCTTTAAATGAATCCCACTTCTCTCTCTCCCTCCCCCCCCCTTTTAGCATCTCGGTTTGATTTCTAATCCAATTATCTTTTTTTAAAACAATAATAATAATTGCTTAATCTCCATCGTCGAGTATGGTGCGTGTGTGTGTGTGTCTCCCCCGCGAAGCCCCCGGGCGATTGTATGGTGGTGCGGTGGTCGTTTTTATCAAACCCTCCTTTCTCCCCCCCCCTCCCCTCCCCCCCCCAGGCCCGTAGCCGGGATTTCGTGGCTTAAATACTCAACAAAACTGGGAGCTTTTTTTAAACTTCTAGAATTGTTTTTTTGGAATAGAACCCACAAAGAAGGAGATAATAGGGATGTTTCAGATATTTGATTTATCTACTCATTGGTGTTCCAAGTTTTCTTTCCCTTTAGATTTTTTTTTTTTTTTTTGGGGGGGGGGGTGATAGATCCAGAGGAGTTCGCCGTGTTAGTCTGTGGCTGCCAAATAGTCAAAAGTAAAGTCGTTTTTTAAAAGGCCCGGTAGCACCTTGAAGACTAACAAACAACAATAAAGATTAGATCAAAGTGGGCAGCCGTGTTGGGTTGAAGCAATACAACAAAGTTCGAGTTCCAGTGGCACCTTTCAGACCAACAAATTTTTTTAAAATCCAAGATGTGAGCTTTCGTCTGACGAAGTGTGCGTCCACAGGAAAGCTGAGGCCTTGAATAACAATCTGATGGTTTTACATGTCTACCATTAAACTTTGTGGGTCTTAAAGGTGCCATTGGACTCTTAACTTTGTTGTTAAATAAAGTTTGTTAGTCCTAAAGGTGCTACTGGGCTTTTTACCAAGGGGGGGGGCGGCGCCTTAATGGAAAAGCAAACCCTCCATAGTGATAGAAACACTTTTTAAAAAAATATATATCTTAATTTGCAAAAGTGCCTGTCTCGGATCCGTCAACTTTCCCCCAACTTTTTAAAAAGAAAAAACTTCGCTCGCTTCCGGAGCTGCTGGCTCGGTTGGGAATCCACACTTGCAAAAACCCCACACTCAAAAAATCTCCAGTCCGATGCTCCCTCTAAGATGTGGAGTCTTGTGAGCAAAAATTCTACTTTGTGATTTCCTGGCATTAAAAGTTGTGAGCGAGCGATTTGGCTGCTGCATTAAATTAGTTTGTCCTGGAGCCCTCCTTCCAGAGCGAAGACCAAAATGTCTGAGCCGGTGGCTGAAAAACTGTGAGCTGGCTCACACGCACTCAGCTTAGAGGGAACACTGGTCCTGACTGAGGGGGGGGGCATCGGGCCAGGTTTATATCCCCGGAGCCCAGACCGTGCCCTGTTTTATACAACACAGGAGCATCGCGGCCGGCGGAGGGCTCAGGTGCGTTTCTTCCTCCGAGGTGTCTGCTGCGCTCTGGCCTCCCTTTGCAAACTGACCAATGTCGGCGCAGGGTTGGGGAGGCTGGGGGAGGAGGGGGAGGAGGAAGAGGAAAGGGCAGAGAGGGAACGGGAGGGCTTGGGCAGGACCGGCCTACTCCCAGCCGACTGCTGACGTTTTGTCTTCTTCTTCTCCTCTGTTGTGTGTTGTGTGTTTGTGGCTCTTTTCTCTCTCCCCACCCCCCCAGCTTCTCCTTGCAGGGCGCTCCGACGGCGGCTCCTCACCCCAAGGGACTTCCAGACGCCGTCTGCTTCGCGGCAACCTGGATTTTTTTTTTTCCTCTTTAAAGAAAAAGAAGAAAAAGACGGATTGGGAGGAGACCGCCTCTTGATTCTTTTCCTTTTTTAAAAAAAAATATATTGCACGATTTGGATAAATCGGGGGGAAATCTGTCCGGCTGTTAGCATGATGTCTTACCTCAAACAGCCCCCGTACGGCATGAATGGCCTGGGGCTAGCCGGACCCGCCATGGATCTGCTGCACCCGTCGGTGGGCTACCCCGGTGAGCATCCATCTATCTCTCCCCCCCCCCCCCCCCCAACCCCTCTTTCCCAGGCAGGGAAATCGCCAGGGCTGGATCTGCGCTTTTGGGGGGGGGGCCGCGGCGGCCAGGCAGTGTTCCCTCTAAGCTGAGTCAGTGTGTGAGCCAGCTCCCAGTTTTTTAGCCTCCGGCTCGCGCATTTTTGTCTGAGCTCAGGAAGGAATGGGGCTCCAAACAGTGTTCCCTCTAAGCCGAGTGAGTGTGAGCTAGCGCACAGGTTTTTAGCTTCCGGCTCACACAGTTTCTGCCTTCGCTCAGGAAGGGATGGCTCCAGAGCAAACTGATTGATGCAGGAGCCAAATCGCTCGCTCGCAACTTTAATGCCAGGAGCTCACCAAGTCGAATTTTTGCTCACAGGACTCCACGGCTTAGAGGGAGCACTGGCTCCAAACAAATGGATTGATGCAGCGGCCAAATCGCCGGCTCACCACTTTCAGGCCAGCAGCTCACGGAGTCGAATTTCGGCTCACGGGACTCCACAGCTTAGAGGGAGCATTGGCGCCAGGAAAGAAGGGGGGGGAAGGAGACCCCTTTTTCTGCGGTCTTAAGTCTGAGAAGCAGAAATGTTTACTAGAATATATATTGTTTAAAAATAAAAGAAGTCTGAGAACTGTCCTGAAAAGGCCGGCGAGAAAGCCCCGGCGACGAGACGGCCTTTGAAAACGGCAGGCACTGCAAAACTTTGGTTTTTGTTGGGTGGTTGTTGTTGTTGTTGTTTTATAATCCGGACAGAAATTCTCCCCATGGGCTGCGGTCACACACACGAAAGAATCCACTTTCAGTGGACTTTCCAACTGGATTTTATTGTGTTGGACTGGCAAAACCCAGCTGGAAAGTGCATGGAAAGTGGATTCTCTGGAGTGTGTGACCGCCGCCTTGGTGGTTCTGATATTAGGAAGTCAGTCCCGCGGATTGGAATGGACTTGAATGCTTGGTGGGGAAGGAGCCCTCGATAAACTGTGTTGAACGTTTTGGGATCCCCCGAGCGGGATTGCAACAGGTTGTTTTTTAAATACAGAGCCTTAAATTAGGGTTTGGGCACTAATGGGGGCAATTCTAGAATTCTGTTGGGCGCCCAATGTCTACAAACAAAATTTAACTTGATACAAATCGAAGAATCAGAGACGCTGCAATTCTATAAGCCTCCGCGTTTTCTTCCTTTTTCTTTCTTCCCTTAAAAACGATATTTTCTTTGTTTCATTAATATCAGAGGTTTTGATTCAAGGGCTAATAGGGGAACCAGGATTCTTTGGGACTAAACCCACCAGGGAGCCCGCGGAATTAATTCCGATCTGTTCTCATCTCTTGTTTTTGGGCCTCTTCGAGTTATTATTATTTTTTGTTGTTTCCTTTCGTTTTGTTTCTGTTTGAAGAGAGACTTTCTTCTCTCTGCGTTTTTGGCCTAGTAAATCCGGATATAAATAGACATATATTTTCCTGCTTCAGGTAGGTCAGAAGCGAAACGGAGATATTTCCTTGGGAGAATTAAGACAGTCCATGCTAACTTTTTTATTATTGTCTCAGCCTTGCTGGACGACCCAGTTAAACTGGAATTCGTGGGCTTTCCGGAGGCCGATGAAGTCCCCCCGGCCTTCCGAAGAGCTGATCTCTCGGTCCCCGGCTCTGTTAAGCCAGACCTCTCCAGCGTTTTTACCCCTGTTTAGTTCCATTGACTCTAAAAGGGATTTTAAAAAACAAAAACCCGATCCGAAACAGACCTCCGGCCTATTTCTAAACAATGCTCCCTCTAAGCTGTGGAGTCCGGTGAGCAAAAAATTCTACTTTTTGAGCCACCGGCATTGAAGTTGTGAGCGGGCGATTTGGCTGCTGCATCAATTAGTTTGCTCTGGGGCCCTCCTTCCTGAGCGAAGACAAAAATGTGTGAACCGGAGGCTAAAGAACTGTGAGCTAGCGCGCACTCACTCAGCTTAGAGGGAACACTGTTTGTAAACCGTGCTGGACTCGGTGGCCCTCGGGCCACACGGCCGCCTGCGTAAAGGCGAACCTTCAGCTCCTTTCCCCAGCGAGTCCCCTCTCTACTTCCCCTCCACCAGCTTAGGCAGTTGCCGCGGGTCTTTGGGACGTGGCTCCGATGTGGGCTCCGGCGAGGACCCCCAAGCGCCCGGCAACACGGCCAGGGGGACGCAAAACAACCGACTGAGCCGGGAGAGGAATTTCTCTCCAAACCGCTC